AAAAACTACAAAAAATTAGCTGGACATGGTGGCGCGTGCCTGTAATCCCAGCTACTCAGGAGGCTGAGGCAGGAGAATTGCCTGAACCCAGGAGGCGGAGGTTGCGGTGAGCCGAGATCGCGCCATTGCACTCCAGCCTGGGTAACATGAGTGAAACTCCGTCTCAAAAAAAAAAAAAAAAAAAAAAAAAAAACTACCTGGATAACTTGAGAACATTATGCTATGTAAGCCAGTCACAAAAAGGCAAGTATGATTCCACTTATATGAAGTATCTCGAATAGTCAAATTTATAGAAAATAGAATGGAGGTTACCAGAGAATGAGAGAACAGGAGAATGGGGAATTGTTTTTGTTTTTGTTTTTGTTTTTTGAGACAGTCTTGCTCTGTTGGCCAGGCTGGAGCTCAGTGGTGCAATCTTGGCTCACTGCAACTTTCACCTCCCCAGTTCAAGAGATTCTCCTGCCTCAGCCTCTCGCATAGCTGAGATTGTAGGCATGTGCCACCACAGGCTAATTTTTGTTGTTGTTGTTGTTGTTGCTGTTTTTTAAAGATGGGGTTTCACCATGTTGGTCAGGCTGGTCTCAAACTCCTGACTTCAGGTGATCCGCCCGCCTCAGCCTCCCAAAGTGCTGGGATTACAGGTGTGAGCCACTGTGCCTGGCCAATTTTTGTATTTTTAATAGAGATGGGGCTTCACCGTGTTGGCCACGCCAGTCTTGAACTCCTGACCTCAATGATCTGCCTCCCAAAGTGCTGGGATTACAGGCGTGAGCCACTGTGCCCAGCTAGGATTGTCATTTAATGGGTATCAAGTTTCAGTTTTACAAGTTGAAAATATTCCAGAGTTGGATGGTGGAGTGATGATTGTGTACCAATGTGAATATACTTAACACTACTGAACTGCACATTTGAAAATGGTTAAGATGGCATATTTTGTCTGGGTGTGGTGGTTCATGCCTGTAATCTCAGCACTTTGGGAAGCGGAAGTGGGCAGATCATCTGAGGTCAAGAGTTTGAGACCAGCCTGGCCAACATGGTGAAACCCCATCTCTAAAAAAAAAAAAAAAAAAAGATGGCTTTTTTTTTTTTTTTTTTTTTAAGACTGAGCCTCACTCTGTTGCCAGGCTGGAATGCAATGGCGCAATCTTGGCTCACTGCAACCTCCACCTCCTGGGTTGAAGCAATTCTGCCTTAGCCTCCCAAGTAGCTGGGACTACAGGCGTGCACCACCACACCTGGCTAATTTCTGTGTTCTTAGTAGAGATGGGGTTTTACCATATTGGCCAGGATGGTCTTGATCTCTTGACCTCGTGATTTGTCTGCCTTGGCCTCCTAAGATGCTGGGATTACAGGTGTAAGCCACTGCGCCTGGCCAACATGACATATTTTAGGTTGTTTTTTTTTTTAACCATAGTGAAGAAAACCTCCTTTTTCATACTATCATACTTTTGGGCACATAGTAGGAACTGAATAAATACTGGATGATCCTGTTCTATTCTAAAGTGTATTTGCTAACGTCCTGTAAATGCTGTCTCTACAATACTCAGCACAGTGTGTCTATGAAACAAAAATTAGGTGTAATGTTAATTCTGACCTCTTGCCTGGGAAGTTGGTATTTTCCAGGAGCTCAGTAGAACCTATGCTCCATTAGAGTGTGTCAGAACAAGAGTGGATGCTCAGAGTTTTGTAAGCACATGCGTGGCGTGTGGAGGCATTTGTGTCTATGTGTTGCGGGGGAGGGTGTAAATCCCTGTGTGTAGAGAGAGCTGCCCCTCCAGAGCATGCACTATAGACGAGGTGACCACTGAAAGACCCAAAAGCTAGAGGTGAGCAATCCTGCTCTGGGGGAAGAGACTACTTAGACCAAGTCCGGGTTGGAAATAATGAGCACTTTGTAATTCTCATCAGCGAAAATAAACTTCAGATGCTGTAAAATTCCCATCTGAAATAGGAGCCTGTCGTCCTCCCCGCTCCTTTCCCCCTATCTCCCATCATCATTTTCTTGGCCACAGGGAGACATCAGGAGACCTTGGCAGATCCTTGAGAAGCCCAGTGACCTTGACCCTGCCCTAGTTGGAATCAGGAAACAATCTCTAAGTCACTTATTTTCAGAAATCTAAAGCTAGGCAGCTAAAAGCCAGGGAAATAGGTACAATTACAGAATTACAGTCTCAACAGGCAACATGCACTCTGGTCACTGGTCATCTGGTGGAAGTCAGAATGATCTACTTCCTACCTACTTTCATGTGAAAACCTGAACCTCAAGGGAGAATTTTGTGCCCTTTTTTTTTTTTTCCTTCAGTCAAGCCTCCAAGATGAGAGGAAACTTGTGTCTTAATTTCTGAATTCTCCGGGGTCCATCTAAAAGTCAAAATCTCTTAGAGGCTTTGATTTTTTAAAGAAATGACTGGTGTACTCCTTTATAAAGTATGGAGAAAAATATAGGAAAGAAAATGTATTTCTCACTCTGGGCAGTGGCTCCAGATCATCGCAGTTGCAGAAACACCTGCAAATCTTTTGTTCCTGTAGGTTGGTGTCACTTGAATTAAACAAGGTAAAAATTTCTTCTTCTTTAAGAGGCACCCTTACCATATCAACCTGAAAGACATGAGAGGTCTCATCTAGAGGGAGAGTGGTGGAAAAGAAGGCGAAAGAGGGGGAGATGGTTACCAGTGGGCAAAGCGGGCAGGTAGAGAAAGGTGGGCATGTGGGCAGGAAGACAGTTACCTCTTTTTTTTGAGACGGAGTTTCACTCTTGTTGCCCAGGCTGGAGTGCAATGGCACAATCTTGGCTCACCGCAGCCTCCGCCTCCTGGGTTCAAGCGATTCTCCTGCCTCAGCCTCCCGAGTAGCTAGGATTATAGGCATGCACCACCGTGCCTGGCTTATTTTGTATTTTTAGTAGACACAGGGTTTCTCCATGTTGGTCAGGCTGGTCTCAAACTCCCAACCTCAGGTGATCCACCCACCTCAGCCAATCCCAAAGTGCTGGGATTGGCAGTTACCTCTTTTAACAGCTTATGCTTTAGGTAGTAAACATTTACAAATGTAAT